CAAACTAAAAGGAAATTAAAAACTCGGATTAAAGAACATAAGGCCGACATAAGAAAACCTTCTTCCGAAATTTCTGTGGTTTCACGTCACCGTATGAATGAGATGCATGAATTAGATTGGGATAATATAAGAATTTTAGATATAGAACAATCTTTAGTGAAAAGAAGAATTTCGGAAATGATACATATAAAAAGACAAACAAGTGGTATCAATAAGCAAAGTGACACGGAAGGTTTGCCTGAGGTTTATTTTCCTCTTCTAAAAAAGGATGTCTCTTTCTGTTAATAAACAATTCTAGAACTTTCTAAAAATTTTGACTCAGATATATAAATAGTGGTAAAATATATGATAGGACAAATAACAACACATAATGTCACGACAAAATTCTAATTGTGTAAAAAAAATATTCGAGATTCATCGTTTGGTTTTTTTGCTGTAAAACAAGGTAATGATTCTATTTCTTTATATTCCGACTAGAAGATTTTAATATATACAATTTTATTTAAATTAGAATCTGGAAATTCTTGTTCTACACTTTTCTTGATATGACAACTGGCGTTGTAACATTACTGTATGAAGCATCTTCACATATAAAAGAACATGTTTATTTAATTACAATTTTCGACTGTTGAATTTAATGTCAACTAGATGTAACTCTGCGTTTTAAGAATATTATTGAATTACTGAAGATGGCCAGATTGTGGCCGAAACGTTTAATGTTTTAATTAATGTAATAATAATTAAATATCACAAACTATAACTTGTGCTGTGGTTTTTTATGCTCTTATTTTTTTATATGTTTAAATTTATGTTTAAGCATGAAAACGAAAATGCTGATGAAAAGTGCAGAAAGAAATTGCATTTGAAAAAGAGCGGATGGAATCGACCGGAAATGACTGATTTTAGGCGCATATAGCGGAACACGTGCAGCGAGTTTTCAATGCGCGATTAATTCTTTAGGAGAAATTTTTCCTTTTATTGGCTCCTGCACACAGAACGTGGCAACGCTTGCCGCGTGGCGGAAGTTGACGCGATAGCCAATCAACGTCTCGCTTGCTCGGAAGTAAAGTCGGTTCTAGATTAATTGCAAGCCGATCGCAAGTTTGTTGCGACAGTTAATATGAAGCATTGATTTCAAAATGCAAGCTTCAGATTGGCTGTCGCAACAACCTTGCGATCGGCTTGCAACTAATGTAAAACCGGCTTTAGAGATCGCTCAAAATTGGCGCCAGACAGGTATCGATATCTCGAGATGGCGCTGTGGGGCTCGAGAGGAACTACTTCGTCGGAAGTTGGGCGATGATGGTTGCGCGGCCGAGGGTATATAAACGCGCGTAGGAAGTCGCGCGACGCTATTCTGCCTTAGTAAGAGTAGAGTTGTGTTCACGTGTGGTTGTGTGCGTTTCCTTTTTCCCCGAAATAGGCCACACAACCGTCCATTCCGTGAAACTAACTCTCCTAGAAAAAACCCAAAAAAAGTAAAAAATTTCTGTAAAAAAACGTATACAAAAAAATCGCAAAACCGTAGGCGAAAAACCGTCGTAACCTCGGGTAACAGCGTGGTAATAAAAAAAAAAAAAAAAAAAGAAAGGAAGAGAAGTGAGTACGAGCCAGATAGTGCGTGAAACCGTCGAAGTCATCAGAGAGAAAATAGACGGAAGATTCAACATCTAACCCAACAGGCACGCGAAAAAAAATACCCATCCAGACACGTACGAGGCAGAAGCGGAAGAGATTTTAAGAGGAAAGCGTGTGTGCGAGAAACCTTGCGAGCGACGAGGTCACGAGCCAGGTTCTTTGGTGGTAGATAAGCCATATTGCGAGATAGGGCGAAAGCGAAATTGTCGCGCATATAAAAAGAGAAACATCATTTGTGTCTCTCATCTTCGGACGTGATACCGATACTCTGCAACCATCACCGTCGCCGCTGTCGCCATGAATCCTGGTGCGCCCAACTACCCCATGGCCTCGCTCTATGTAGGCGACTTACACACCGACATCACCGAGGCGATGCTGTTCGAGAAGTTCTCGTCGGCTGGACCCGTGCTGTCGATCCGTGTATGCCGCGACATGATCACCCGCCGCTCGCTCGGCTACGCATATGTCAATTTCCAGCAACCGGCTGATGGTGAGTTATCATTGCCATCGTTGTCGTAATCGTTATTTTAGAATAGCGCTGTTCCCGTGATGATGATGGATATGGAAATGCTGATGGAAATGTTAGAGTAGTGGTCAACGTGGTGACGCAACGTGGGTTCACTAGAATGGCCGCCTGCGTGCCACACACGTGCCTCGCTAATGTGCCCACCATTGTGCCCACCATGTTGGATCCACGTCCTCACTCCACCGTTAATGGTAGTTAACGGTTAAATGGAATTATCATGAGAGGGGGAAAGATATTTTCTTTTTCTCCCTTTTATCTATTTTTATCAGTACAGTATTTACTTTAATCCCAGTTTAATTTACTTTGCATCTTTTTCCATTTCTAAGAATTGGAGAACAAAGTAAGTTAACCCCTTCAGATCCGATTTTAAAGCAATCGTGTTAAAAAATTTTTTTTTTTTCATTCAAGGGCACTTTGATGATTAATTCATACTGAAAAATTAATTTTTTTTTTATTTGGACTGTTTTTTAAACATACGTTATTATCTGGCCTTAGATGATGTTGACAACTAAATAATTTCAATGGACGATGTCTTCAAATTTGATGTACACAGTGTAT